GTTTATAGTGCCTACAGTTCTACAGAGATTTGGCCTACTCGTAACCGTACAGTCGTACGGGTTTCCGTTTACAGGTTTTTTATGGATATTTCGCCTACAGGTACCTATACAGCCGTGCAGGTTTCTTTCAATGGGTTTTTACGGGTATACGGCCTATGGGTACCCGTACAATCGTACGGGTTTCTTTTTATGGTTTTTACGGGACTTTGGCCTACGGGTACCCGTACAAACGTACGGGTTTCTTTCTATGGGTTTTTACGGGGATTTGGCCTACGGGTACCCGTACAACCATACGGGTTTCTTTCTATGGGTTTTTACGGGGATTTGGCCTACGGGTACCCGTACAACCATACGGGTTTCTTTCTATGGGTTTTTACGGAGATTTGGCCTACGGGTACCCGTACAGTTGTACGGGTTTCTGTCTGTGGGTTTTTACGGGGATTTGGCCTACGGGTACCCACAGAGCTGTACGGGTACCCGTAGGCCAATTCCCCGTAAAAAATTTTATGGGTTTCTACGGGGCATTTTTAGCAGGGGTACCGTTCTTAAATACAGTGCCGGGCGATAATATTTAACGGCAACAATTTGAAAAGTGAAAGAACGCTTATCGTGAATCGACGCAAAATGCCGAAACGAAATTAATAGCTTTTCTGAGTTAATGCTCCTTTGCGCTAAAAATTTAAAATTAAAGAGGAAGATAAAAAGCAAGTTTTGCTCTACTTCTTTCAAGTATGAAATTACTTGATAATGGTAAAATAAAATTCACATGGAATTGAAATTTCTTAAAAATAAAATATAATTTAAACTTAAATTGAAAACAAAAATCTTTTACAGCCTGGCTAATCGGTTCATCATTTACCCAGACTATTTAAAATCGAACTAACTGAAAAATTAATACATACAAAATAGGATAATAGGTTAAAAAAATCTTTTTCCCCCCTTCCTGTTTTTCAATAAATAAAACGTAAATTAAAAATTCATATTTCTTTACTATGAACAATTTTTAAAAACGCATTTTTATAGCAATTTCATTGCTTAGAAATTTCGATGTTTGCAGATATTTGCTTGTCCTTTTCACTTTAGGTCATTTCTCTGTAGCAACTATATCGTTTATCGTTCAGCTTTAAAATACATTCCTATTATGTACCGTGACAAGGTTTCAATCATTTCAGTAAATTTGTATAGCTGTTCGGCTTTAATATTGATAATAATGTAGAATTTCTGATTTGAAATCCAAACTTTATCAAATAATCTAAAAAACGATTCTTCATAAATCTACCAAATTCTTCGCGATTATGTTTGTATGATATTCATTTCTATATTTTCCTATTTCTGTTCGTACAATGTCTGGAATACATGAACAGTTTTGCCTTTTCTTACACGTTGTTTTTCTTCTATTATTTCCATGATGTTATTCAGTAAGATATCTTGGCAGAGTATATTCTCAACATATATGTCTTTAATGCTGCTTCGATAGCCAATGTCTATTCTAAAAACAATGCCTCCATAGTTTAGAAAGGAAATTTTTGTCTTTCGTTTATTGCTTTATTATTGCTGCTTATTACGAAGGGAGCCGCGCGCGGCTCTCCAGTTTGCTGGAGTAAGTTTTTATTAATTATAAAATTTTCGACCATACCACAACAAATTATGATCAAAATTTATCAGTGCTTCGCATTTTCAGTTTGTTTAACAGCTTATGGCAAAGCACTATTTTCATAAACTAAGGATGCCTTTGTGGGAGACCTATTAAGGGAGGCTGGCTTTCATTCATGTTACACACGGAGAAAACTCTTATGCAGCCAGCTAATTTGAGACCTACGTATTTAAGTCGATCTTATTTCTTAGAAACACATTTTTATTAACTTTACTAATCAGTCTTTTGAGTTTCTTTCTCATTTTATTGGAATGCTTTGCATAATTAATTAAATTATTATTATTATTATTATTATTATTTTTTTGTGTGTGTACACATATATATATATTACATATGCTTCCATTTCATATATAATTTTCTTTTCCCGAGATAAATTACTTCGAATTAATCTTTGAAAGTTTAGTTTTAGAAATCTTTTTTTTTAAACTATTTTCAGTGTCAAAGCTTTAACTATTCGTTAATGCTGATTGCAATATCTGTGCCTAACGCTGAAATATCAAACATGAGATGAGCTAAAAGGTCAGAATGCAGCCGTTTGCCAAATATGTTAAGCTTGTTGATTCATTTCCTTTTGAAATAACAATTAGAAGTCATAACACATATCAGTGAAACGATTTTCATATCTTCTGCTATGAAATTTAATTTAATTAAATAACCGTAAATTAACATTAAAGTGCTGTCTTCCAAGGATAAAATATGAAAGCTTTACTGTTGTCTTACCGTTTTTTGAAATAGTATTGTCGAAGACAGAAATATCAGTCTAGAGTCAGTTTAAGACATCGGACCTAAGAAAAAGTTAAAGCTGGAATCATGGAGGTAGGAAAGGGAGGAGGGGCCAACCCGCGCTAAAAGTGAAGCACTGCTTTGAAGCTTGGGTCACCAAATGGGGTGTTTTTTGTTTACATTCAGAAGCTCGCTTGACAAGATTCTGATAGTATTTCGACACAGACAGTTCCATAGAAATCGAAAAAGGGACACTTTCGCATGAAAGAAACATTCATAGTGTGATGGATAATAGCAATTTGTATAGTTTAGTGACATTTACGCAAAAATCACATCTTGGTTATTTTTTGATAACTAACAACAGCGATTTTGATTATGAATTTGTTTTATAAAATTATAAGCTATTGCACTACAAAAATATAGATTTTAAGAAAAATGTTATGCTTAAAGAATGAAAAATACCTTACGCTACATTTAAAATTGTATACGTCTTTCGATACCCTTGATAGAGTATTCGCTACTTTTATTTTATTTTCCAAACGTCAAAATGTTTTAAATAAAACAAATTTTTTTCACATCCATATGTTATTGTAACATGTACCTTTTAAAATTTTTTAGAGGAGAGGCTTTACTGCTGCTCATTTTAAACCCATCGTTTTAATTTTATATATCTGAAAAATAATCACTTTGGTCTTACACGTTTTATAAATATAAAATTATGTATGTTAAAATATTTGTAGTCAGGCACATAGGTCAGATTAAGTTTTTATTAAATAGAGTAACGCATGCAAGGGCTATCTACCTCAAGAGAGAGATGCCATCGTGGAGGAATTTTGAAGAAAAACTGACCTTTAAGTGGGTATTAAAAATAATACTTATAATTTTCATTCAAATTATATTCATATATATTTTTTATGTAAAACTTTTGGGTGTATGCTAAATTAGTGTAAATTTACTTTACACGAAAAATATAGTGAATGCACAGAAATTAAAGATCTGCACATGCCGGAAATGAAAATAAGAAATATGTATGTATGGTATTTATGCATGTGCTTGCAAAAAGCATGTATCTGCCTTTGACAAATACTTAAATATTCATTAAATTATTTATAAATGTATTTGAAATGAAGAATTTATTCACTTATAACACACTGTGAAAGTACTGTGAAGAAATTTAATTATTAAATGTATCTAATTTATAATGATTATAAATGTTATCTAAATATATAATAACCTTAATATTGAATTGTAAACATAAATTGAAATCCTGTTGACAAATACGTTATAAAACTATTTAAGCAAGAATTGTTCGTATTGGAAAGCAATCTGTTAAAAGGTATTGTAAAGCAAATGCTATGAGATGCGCACTTAAGAACGTAATAAAGAGTTTTGGAATATGTATTGTTGAAACGAAGGGTAAAAAAAAAATCTGATAAGTATAATTAAAAGAATTATTCCCCTTACATTTTATAATAACTCAGTTACAAGTTTTAAATAATACTTAAAAAAAAAAAAAAACTTATTTTATTCCCTTTCAGAAATGTTCAGAGAAAGTCAAGTACTATTTAATACCTATTTAATTATTAGGAATTAGCGAAATACTTAATTAAAGCATTTCGCTAATTCCTAATAATTCTCTAATTTAAAATGAACCAAATAGAGCATTAATTATAAATTGACTTACATTTTTCGATTTAAAAGATGCCTCAGGAGCCAAAAAATCATGTCATATTTAAGAAAGTATTTTAGGAAGAAGCTCTATAAATAGAAAAGAAATAATGCATAATTTTAATATTAATAATACAATAAATTTTGATCTTAATTTTTGTACCTTAACCGAATAAAATCGAATTACCTTAATTTTTTTTTTCTAATGTAATTAACAAAAACTTGTGAAAATATTTCATTCAAATTAAAACCATTCTGAGAAAACTGTCCTGTGAAAAGTATAGCATTTAATTCCGTTCAGAATGAAATGTTGTTTAAAAATATGTTGTTTTCACATACTTAGGACTCTGAAGTGTTGTAGAAAAAGAAAATATATACATTTATATGTATATTTACGACGTAATTACAAAATATTTACATCCGAACGCGTCAAATCCCATAGAACTCAATGGTAAATGACCCAATGTTTTGGTCACCATGTAGTGATATCGCCGGTGCTTCAGAGCAGGGTACGGGAGAAACTTGCTTAGGGCGACTCCATCTTACTTCCTACCTCCATGGCCGGAATAAAGGGGGGAGGCAAAGTTGCAAGGTCTTGGCTGAGTGGGGAGCGTTTATTTATGGTAACCTGCCTCGATTTCCCCTTCTGTGCGGAGGAAAGAAATTCTGGCTAAAAGTCTACTATTTTCTCGATTTTTCTCTCGTGGCTAAAAATCCACTGGCTAAAACGACACCAAACCACAGCGGTTATGGGGGTTAGCATTTTTCTATCTGAGCTAAACGATGTCGCCATACTTATAAGCCATCTTACTACATTTAAACGGATGATCAAAAACCCAGAAACTTTCGAAATCCTGAATCGCTGAAATTCCGACGATTCCGGATCTCGGACTTTGTACTGTATGTGAATGCTAACAAAGAACAGAAAAAGAAATACTTGATGCAATACAGATACCTTTGCTAAATCCCTATGATGAGCATTTATTATAGCTTGAATCCAAAGCCCACTTGCAGCAGGATTTCGATGAATAGAACTAAAATAGACGTAAATGAGAATACATTAAATTAGGTATAAGAATTCATGGCTTTAGCACAGATATTCAGAAGTCTAAAACTACAACAGTACTATTAAATACCATTAGAAATTTTTAAAGTTCACCATTTAACTTCCTTTAAAAAATTACACATTAAAAGCTCCTAAATGCACAATGTGCACGATAGTATAAAGAGTTATTTTAGCGCTTTTTTTACAACAAAAAACCACTTTAAACTCTCTTGCGAAATAATTAGCTTCTTTGTTTTTTCTGCTATTTTAATTTCCACATCTAAAAGTAATATTATTTACACAAATATGGCAACTGTATGTTTTAGAACATGAAAATTTTGCATAACGTAATAACATGATTATTCATATATTTAAATTTTTCTGTTATCACTTAATCAACTTTAAATTCTTAGGGGGAAAAAAGACTTGAAAGTTAGAAGTATACAGTATATTCTTTTACTTATCTTTCTTTATGCTTCGTTTCAGATAATGTTACCTTTGTTTGATACTGTATAATTTAATTAATAAACCTACAATTAGATACTCAGCATTATGTATTACAGTAAAGACAGTTTTCCACCCATAAAAATACACTACAGCTAGTATAGCAGTGAAGAAGTAAAAAGGCACATATATATTGATACTTGATATAAGAATATTGATACTTCTAATAAAATAACTATAAAATATACATTATGGAATTCTGGGGGGGGATAGGACTTTTTTTTTCCCATAAAAATTGATTTAATAGTGAATGTTCATGAGCGAACTTGGCTGGTTTAGAAACTGCAGTCAAAAACCTTGTTCTTTTAGAAATTACAGCTTCTTTTGGAAGTGTTCCCTATGAAATTTCCATAAAGTTTTCTGAAACACTGAATCATCCAAAAATTTCTGTGATGTATGATAAATATTAATGAAGCAGTATGAAAGAGTAAGAAAATTTCACTGAACTACATATGTACCATTTTATTATGTGTCATTTTGTCACCTCTCCGGCAGCTGGAAAATTCCTGTTTGAAAAAAGTCATTAGGTTTATTTGTAAAAACAAATTGAGGTGCTATTTGAGAGTCTTCAAAGAAGTGAATTTCAGGACGTTCAGACATAAACAGATGAAAATCCGAGAAGGCAAGATCTGCTGAATATGGGTGATGACACAAAAATCCCAGCCATACTTATTAAGTCTTTATCTGATATTCATTGAAATGTGGGGCGCAACATTCTCATGTTGCAAGACTAGTTACAAGTCATGCAACAACTAGTCTGTTCTGGGCACTTTCTTCAATTTCTGCTTTTAAAACTGCCACTAATAACAGTAGTTTTCTGACTTTATTCTCTGATTTTGTGGCTACAATTCATAATACAGAATTCCTTTGTAGTCCCACCATGCAGAAAACATTACTTTTTTAGGATACAGCCCAGCTCTCTATGTTACTAATGGAGGTTAATTTGGCTAATCCCATAATCTTTTTTCTTGCAAAATTATAGTACAGTATTAACTTCTCATGTAAAGTAATAAGCCATTTCAAAATTGAAGCTTTTTTATTTCGTTTCAGCATATAATCATATGCCGAAATTCTAGCAAGCATATTCTGCTGTGTCAAAGTATGGAGCACTCATACACCATAACAGCTTCCATACCAGTTCTTCTTTAAATTATCATGTACTGTAATTTGAGGAATATTTAACTTGTCCGATAGTCCCTAAACTGTATAATGAGAATGTTCACCTTTCAATAAGTCCTTGTTTACAGAGGATGTTCATGAAGAGCAGCTGAAATTTCCACGCTTAAACTTCTCACATTACCTTCATATTATCAGCAATAACAGCACTTTGTCCATATGCAGCACAAATTTTACAAGTAGTCAGACTAGCATTTTTCTTTATTAAAAAATAAAAGAGCATAACATGATGAAAATTAACTTTTGTGTTCTCTATTCTTAGAACTGCACTGGAAAAAAATTATGGCAAAAGCTATACTAGAATTAGAAAAGCCGTATTTATGCATCTGCTTCAAAGTCACTCCTTATTACCAGTAATAAAAAAATGGGTTTCTATTGAAAACTGCAGAACTTTCCAGATGACTATGCATTTCTGAACATAACAGGAAGTCATTTAAAATTAACAACAGTTATTTTCTTCTTATGCTAATTACTTAAACCATATTATAAAATTAAGCTGCATAATGGCATTATTGAAAATATGTCACTAAATCTGGAAAGTTCTGTGAAATATCTATACCAAAACAAAAAATAAAATATTGCTGATATATAATGTTATTCAATAGCAGTATAATACTAATTCTTACTCCATTTGTGTAACATTACTGATTCTAATTTTAAAGTATGACTCATGCTGTTAAATGTATTGAGTATTTTATTTCCAAAATAATCGGTTGTTTAATTGAGATAGTTAAAATTTGAAAATTTCTGGCTTAAAGCAGTCTTGGTAAGTTTAAGAATATCTTTAGCACATGCTTAAGCTTTTCACATTCATTTATATTTTAGTAGCACAAATATTAAAGGTCATCCAAGTCATACTTGAGCATGTGTGCTATGGGGTAAAATAATTTTTAAAACTTTTACAGTAACAGAATTCAAAGTATTATAAAAATTACATGAAAAAACAGAAATACTGGAATTCAAAATGCTGATGAGTATACTATGTGCAAATTACAACGCTTTTTCAAAAGCTAGAGATACTGAATATTCAGAATCTAATTTGGAGATGATACTCTAAGTACACTATGCATGAGTGTTATTTTAGTGGCTATCTCTTCAGGTGTACTGAACTGATCTAGTTACATTAGCTGTTCAGATTTGATTGACAAATATAATGATTAATAAAAACCACCTGCATTTCAATAATTTGCCACAAGTTAAACATTGCACAGAAATTTACAGCTTTGGTGAGTACTTAAACATAAGCCACATAAAGTATGCCAGTGGATGTCCTTTGGTTAAAATTCTTTGCATTTGTTTGTTTTCGGTAGAGAAATGACATAAATTTAAAAGCCATTAAAAATTAAAGGAAAAGGGCACTAAAAAGACAAACCCTTGACATTAAAAAGAAATTAAATTGGATGTCACATTCATCATTAAAAAAAAAAACATTAGATTTAGTACTGAGATCTAATAAATTTGTTATAATAGTACATTGTCGATGAAATTCAGTACCTTTTAGCTACCACCTAAACATCAATTGATAGAGAGGATTTCTTTATAATTCTGCACTGGAATTCTATATCAGTTATACATTGAGTATTGAGAACATGTGGAACTTCTTTCCAGCATGCCCTACTTTTTTTTAAACGTGTTTTCTGTTATTTCGGAATATTCAGACAGCTGAACACTTTGCATCTGTTCTCAGATGCTAAATGACCAAAATAATCACTAATAAAGTCTGCTGTTACATTCCTTATTTTAAAGTGAAACCTAGCAGAATATTTCTCCCTGTAAATAAATAAGGGTGCGGGATATATCTAGGGTACTGTAGAAACAGTAAGACGTAATGCTGAATTCAAGAGGCTAACAGCATTGAATGTTTTTATGAAAATGTATTAACCATCATGGATTTCTGAAATAGATCACTTTGATGGGAAAATTATTAATTAAATTTAGAAAAAAAAATTAAGTAAACTGTACGTTCTATTCATAATGAGATTTGATGATCTCAATACCTCACTTCACTTTTGAAACTGAACTTCATTATTTTCTTTTATATTGTTACGAATTTTGCATATATGAAAATCATTTTAGTGAAATTATATGTGAAATTGTAGCACTTTTTGTATAATGTAACATAAGACAGTTGAAAGAGACGAAACTCTTCCGGAAAAATAAGAATGCAGGGGCAAGTACTCGTTTATTTTATCTAACCAGTTATTTTATGTTAAAAAGCTTTTCTGTAATTCTCGCTTTCCGTTTTCCTGCTAGTCTAGTTTGCACATATTCAAATGAGGTAGAAAGAGATAGTATTTAAAGGGAAGTTTTAGATTGTACAATTACTTCCATTCACTGAAAGACAAATTACTAGTTGAATATCTTGACAGCCGTTTATTTGAGGCGTTGCTTTATTTTCACCATTAGACTTGTCAAGCCGAAATTAGGTCCGAGCCAACTTTCTCGCATTCTGTCTGTGTAGCCTTAGGCTACACAGACCTTTAGGCTTTAGGCTAAGGCTAAGGTCTTTAGGCTTTAGGCATTAACCTTTAGGCTAACGTGCAATTTGCTTAGTTAATTTCAATTCTTTACTTTAGATTTACGTCATAAATGCTAGCTAGTTCTGTAAGCACAAGCTATGCCCTTTGTTAATTTATCTGAGATGATAAAAGGGTATTTTACATCCATTTACAAATCTTTGCTGTAAATTCCAAGAAATAGCGACAATTCGTATGAAGTATTCTAGAGTTCTAACTTACAAGTAGTTTATGTTACCAAAGCGGACGAGACTCTGGCGTCCAAACATCTATAGGAACTATGCCTCAAGAAAATTCTGCATTTAATTTGGACCACTTAACGTCGCAAGTTCCACTGACTTCAGTTAGTCCCATGGAAGGATTTGAATTCATTGTGGATACAATAAAGGCTGTCGTGAAACAAGCAGTCACTTTCGATGAGAAAACTTCTGTAACTAAATTCTTTAAGCAGCTAAGTTCCCCTGTGCCCGAAGTACAAAAAGTTACAATCGCAGCTGCCGCTTTTAGAGGACAGGCTGACAGTTGGGATAAATGTATTGGAATATTTGTGTTAGATGAGCCAGGAAGCATACCTACAAATTTGAAGTATTTAAGAATGCTCTCATTAAAGTGTTCTCCATTGTGAAAGACAGGACTAAGCTCGAAGAGCTGCTTAGTAAATTTCAGTTTAAATTTGAAGAATTAACGGGTTTTATTTTAAAGAAAATTCAAATAGTTAATTTGTTGTATGTCAAGACGCCTGATGAAGAAATTATTCAAATTATCTTGCCTAGGTTGTAAGGATTTTAAGTTT